ATAGAAGCAGAACCAAAACCTAATCAGAATCTAAACAACGTAGAACAATCTCCTCCGACACAAGTCATGGAAAGAACAACAAACAACACAACGACCTCAAGCCCTAACACATCTCCTTACAGAATTCCTTCACACGTTTTCGCAAGAACAACATCTACGGCTCCAGTTGAATGGAGTACTCTCTCCAATGAATCTCTCTTTAGCATTCACATGGGAAACAATAGCTTCACCGGACGAGAGTACTTCAAATCCGGTGAGCTTACGTTTCCTCAGCCTCCTTCACCAATGACTCCTACTTTGCCTTCTCCTTTACCGTCTCCGCGCCACAACGAAAACGAAAGAGGAGGAGGCCAAGGAAGCAGAGTCGTGGAGGAGGCTAAAACTCCGGTGGATATAGGCAAGAAAGCAGCTGAAACGGATAAAGCTTACCGCGCAAGTAAAGATGAAGAACAAAAGGCTGCAGCAAGTATTAGAGAGGTTATTATGGCTAATGAAGCTGCTAATAAAGACGAAAACAACAACAAAACCAATAAGTTAGATCGTTCGATCTCTCGTCGCTCGGAAAATCTAAGCGTCAAGTCGTTTGCTTTTCCAATGTAAACATAAAAGAAAACATTGCTTTCTTCTTCATGTCTCCAAATAGAAATGTGTTTTCTAGTTCTCACTTTGTTTGTGCGCATTGTGTAGATTGGGAAATGCAGACAAGGGTGGATTACAAGGTTCAACGCCGCAAAAGAAACAGGGGAAATCATCACAGCCAGAGACACCGAAGATTTTGAATGAGGGTGAAGGAGATAAAGGATTAAAGAAAGAAGAAGCTCCTAAGTCAGTAACTCCTAAAGCAGAAGCTGATCGCGCCTCTAGTCGCAATCCAAAATGGCTATCTTGCTTCCCTTGCTGCACAACATTCTGTGTCTAGTTGAAAGATCTTTTGAGGGGATTGAGTTTGGTTCATGTGCTAACTTTTAAGTTTGATAGAGAAATTGTCTCTTTCTTCTTGGCTTTATAGAAGACTGTTCCAAGATTTACAAAGTTGTTTGAAATTTCTGTATAATCTTGTGAAGTAAACAAATACGATTCATAAAGGTCCCTTTTTTATATTTGATTTGAATCTTCAAGACTCCTCTGTTTATTCAAATTCAATAATTAGTTTCACTATAAAGTGGAACAACTTTTATTTTGTTAAGAATGATGTAAAGAGACTTCAAGCCTTTGAATAAGGGAGGACCAGTGAAGCAATTTGACCCAAGAGATGTCGCGGAGACTTGGAGGTGTCAGTTAATGGAGATGTCCATTCTTGATAGTTATGGAGACTACCCGTGAAATCGGTAAAGAGTCCATCAACTCCAATCACATTGATCCAGTACTCATATTCGTTGTATGGGTCTTGGCTGAAGTTAAAGTGTAAGTACGTATTTTCATTCCTGTACGTGTACGGATGCACCTGAGTTTGTATCACAAAGAACATGGTCAGGAAGTTATTAGCGTGCTTTACTGACTCTCGGTCTCTAGTAGACTCTTAAATCCTACCTGTAGATTATGCGCATGAGCTCTTTTGACCAAATCTGTGGGGGCTTGCATATAGTTGCTCGTTACTGGAACAATTGTATCCTTCCATGGTCCGATCCCCACCACGTACTGCTTGATGTAGCTGAAATAGGTATCTGATGTGATCTCTGCGTATGTCTGCTTAGATTTGACAGAAAGATCGGTCAGTCACTTAAGCAGAAGGATAAGAACTTTCAGGAATTCACAAACAAGAAGAGGATTAGAGGATGGACTTGATTAGTATCTTGCGTTGGCATGGTTACATCGTCTATTAGTAGGACCTTCGGTGAGTCTATCAAGTCTGATATGTACACGAGTGAAGTTGGGGCAAATGACTGAATAAACAATGGTTTTCTCAACCACTTCTTGGACAAATATGCACCTCCGTAACCATACTTTTTAAGAGTCTCCACAACTTTATCCTCAAATCTCTTACCACCAGGCCATTTGACCTGTAGATATTTAACAGTGATATAGTAAAAAAAATATATGTATCGCTTTCACGGGAAATAGAAGGCCAGAAAGTTCATCATTTTCTGCAAATTGAACCCAATGGTGGTGCCAAGAGCCTTTTCAAATCAGTCTTTAGGATTCCAATAAAAAATAGAAGTCAAGCTTGTCAGATTGTAACTCACATGTTGGTTCATTAAAACTGGATTTTTAATCTCAGGGTATATCCCGACAACTCTTGGAGCGTCCCGAGCAATAGCTATGAATTCTTCAAATGTAATGATAGGGTACTTTCCTGCATTTCAAACATGGGATGGGCATGGTTAAATATTTCCTGCACCAAGCGATTCTTTTTATTTCTTCCAACAGGTAAATTCGGGAAAGAATGGCTAGCTAACCATTATATTGCTGGTCCCGAAAAGAATATCTCTGATTTGTCCGTAGTGTCTTTAGTTCTTTGAGAGTAAAATCAACTGCAAGCAATCAAAGAGAAATCAGTTGGCATGCATCAACTCAAGTATAAGGAAACAAAAGAAGAATAGTGGTAACGTACAAGTATAAAAGCCAGTGATGTTGAATCCTTGGACTTCATATGTCCTTTTACGATCAGCAAACTCTTTGAGGCTCGCAACATTGGTTGTTTGGTCAAGGATAACATCATGGAAACATATAAGCACACCATCTTTGGATGATAAGATATCTGTTTCTATGAAGTCTGTACCCTCTTCAATTGCTCTCTATCAAAAGACAACAAACATTTCCTTAAACAAAATGTTCCAACTTCACGATATCCATGAGCCAAGCTCTCTAATTCCCATCTCTAGACACCTCGAAAAGTCCGAAAAAAGTAATACGCCAAAAAAAAAAATCAAATAAAACAGGACATTGATCAATGGTTATACCAAGTATGCAGCTGCAGTTTCTTCTGGAATCTCTCCATTGGAACCTCTGTGTGCGATGTTATAAGGACGTGAAGTCTGCAGCTTAAAGCTTTTCGTTCCTTGACCAGGGAGTGGGTACAATGGCCTCCCAGTACACAGAGTAAGCAGAGATAGGCATATCAATGGCAAACATTCTGTAATATGAACAATAACCACTCTGCATCAAACTTCTATTTTACTGCTGTACTGTTATATCATAAACAAAGCCAAAAACTTTATAAGCCTATAGTCTCTAAAGATCCAAACTTTAACAAATCCAGATTCAATAGGTGAGAATTAGTCTCTCAAGACCCAATTTTTTTTTCTTTCCCGATTCGCTATTCATTTAGCAAACATTATCCACAAGCGCATGCAATAGAAAGCAATCAATCAAGTCAAAACAAGTTACAACCATACTCAGATAGACAATGAGAAACCCAGAAAAACAAAAAAAACAAAAGGTTGAAAATTGAGAAGCTTGATTACTTGTAAGAAGCATGACGATCTCCTAGATCAATCTGAATGCTTGTTTTAAAACTCTGTTTCTTCTGCGATCCAATTTGGTTCCTCTCCGTTTACTTTTAATAGAAGAAGAAGAAGAAAGGATTGAGGATCTTTTACTCCATTGACCCTGCGATGGCTTGTGGGTCGAAAATCTATCATTCTTCACTTCACTAACGAATATTCCAGTTTTTTTTTTTGGTTTATTAAGAGACATTTTTGAGGTTGCTTTTATTATCTTTGTT